TGTTTAGCCTGGAGAAGAGGAGGCTCAGGGGAGACCTTATCACCCTCTACAACTCCCTGAAAGGAGGTTGTAGTCCGGTGGGGGTTGGTTTCTTCTCGCAAGCAACTAGCAATGGGGGACAAGAGGGCATAGACTCAGGGTCTGCCAGAGGAGGCTTAGTTGGATATTAGGAAGAGATTTTTACGGAGAGGGTAATCAGGCATTGAAATGGGCTGCCCAGGGAGGTGGGTGTGGCACTTAGTGCCATAATCTTGTAATGACTGTAGGGCTGAATTGGACTTGATGATCTTTTAGGTCTGTTCCAACCTGATTGATTCTATGATTCTTTAACATGGTCCTTTTTATAGGGTAAGCCTTTTCAGGGCACAGTATGAGATCATAAATTAATTTGTATACTATTTGCTGTAGACCAGGACACAAACTGAAGCCTGGGAGGTTTGAGTTGAATATTAGGAGAATATTTTTCACTGTGAGGGTTAGCACAGTTTGCCCAGAGAGATCGAGTCTCCATCCTTAGAGATGTCGAAAGCTATCTGGACACAGTCCCGGGCAGCCTGGTCTAGGTGGCCCTGATTGAGCAGGAGGTTGGTCCAGACAGCCTCCAGACATCTCTTGTGACCTCAGCCATTCTGTGATTCCATGATTTCAGTGCTTTACAGACATGGAATTTCAGCAGGTTATGAGATTAGCAAGCAATACAGAAATACACTGGTCATGTGAAGGGTCCATATATTTGTTAATAAGCCCTATCTCTAAAATTAGTTTCTGAAATATTTTTTTATTTATTTTAAGGAAATACCCAGTAATTCAAACAAATGAAATGAGAGATCGGTACAAAGCAGTATTCAATGATCAGTTTGCTGAGTATAAAGAACTGTCTGTGGAAGTTAATGCTGTGTTAAAAAAGTTTGATGAGCTGGATGCATTGCTGAAACAGCTTCCTCACCGTCCTGAAAGCATATATGTGAGTACCAGTGAAATGGCCTCATGGAAAACAGTGATGTTAGGTGGTATTAGGCAATTTCTGACTGTTTTTGGCTAGGGCACAATGTCTTGTAATGCTGACTGGGACTTGGTGGGAGAGGAAGCTTCTCCTTGTAGGTTGCATCTTGTTTGGTCATTAGTTAAGGATACCAACTTGCCATTAAGATGTATATATGTGTTTCTGGTTTGTTTGTTTCCTACTAGTAGCTTTTATCTTTGACCCACTGTTAATGTACTTTCACTGTTTCTCTAGTACGAGATTTACAATTAAAATGTTAGAACTACAATGTATTGATCAAATGAGAATGTTACTTCTGATTAGCATTTTGTAGAATTTACAAGAAGATACGGAGGACACTCAAAGTGTTTAAAATAATCTGTGATCTCTTATTAGGAACAGGAAAGGATATCAAAAGTTTTGCAGGAATACAGGAAGAAGAAAAACGTAAGTGTTTTTAGATTTACATTGCTCATGAACCTAATGAATAGCAAAGAGAGTGTAAACAGCCAACACTTCTGACACTAGGAACAATTCACTGGCTCAGGGTATCTGTAGCTACTGCAGATTTTTGTGCATTTTATCTTCTAAATCTTCGGCAAAGTTTGGACACAACCCACGCACTTGTGCCAACAACCTGTTTTGAGAATAATGATTCTAGTAGCCAGATGTGAGGAAAAAAACATGCAACTCGACAGTTAAGCCTTTTCATCTTCTGAGAGTAGGTCTCATCTCTTAGCATTTTGCTCTCAGAAGACTGGTTATTTTTTGGGATCCAGTCCATTTATATTCACTGACTGGCACAGCCAAAAAATAATAATGGAAAACATATTCTTACTCTTGAAAAGAAGTTTTGGGGGTTTTGAGGCATGGGATTTAGACACTCTCAAAAAGTAATTTTCAGTGTAATCCAAGAGGTTTCTCTTTGTCGTTTTTAAATGCAGGCAGTAAATGTCTATTTGTGTTCCATTAAAAACAGTGTGGGTTTTTTCCCCCATGGGACTGAAAGTTTGTGTCCACTTTAGTTAAATTTCATAGCTTTTTTGGGGGGGGGGGGGGGGGGAATCTAGTCCATATACTACAACACACCTATGAAATGTAAATTGCGCACTAGGATGTCACTTGTATTTGCAGATTCCTGTTTTAAAACTGTTCTGTTTACTAAGTAACTATAGCATGCAAAAACGGAGCATCTTTTTCTAGCTTTTCATGAAGGAAAGGGAAGCAGGAAATAAAAAAATGTGGTCAGGGAAAAAGAGTGTGATTTTGGAGAAAATTTATATACTGTCCTCAATTAAGAACATAACTGATAATAGACTATTCTTGGAAGAGTCTGATAACAGAATGTATTAATATAAAGGGTTTTTTATTTTTGGCAGGATCCTGCATTTCTTGAGAAAAAGGAGCGTTGTGAATATCTAAAGAATAAGCTTTCTCACATAAAACAGAGAATTCAGGACTATGATAAAGTTATGAACTGGAATGTAGAAACTTAGTTCTGTCTTCACTTTGTGGATACCATTTTCTGTTTTTTAAATTGATATGCATATTTTAACCTATTTTTTTACTCTCAGAGCAGTAAACTTACGGGGATTACTTAATCACTTTGTCACTTACGTACATGTTGTACATTCCTGGTAGGTTTTGAATGCAGATCCAGTTTTGAATCAATGTAATGAAGTTGTCAGATGAGTTTAGAAAACTTCTGCTAACATTCTGCTTTCATTAATGTAAATCCTGGCCTCTTACATAGGAATACTTTCTGTGAAAATAATGTATTTGCAAAGCCCACCAAAGAAAGCAGTTACAAATACCACAGGGAAAATTTGCACAGAAACGCTGTTAGTTATTTCAGATTTTATTTATATGTGACATCTTAATGATATCCAAAGAGCTGAGCTGTCCTTTCTGTCTGGAGTTTGATAGGGTCCTTAATCTTATTGCATAATTGTGGCAATTCAGGTGTTAATTTAATGAGAATTTTTGTATTGTATTTTCAATGCTGTACTGTGTACCAGAAATGACCTTGAATTTCACCCAGCAAGAGAAGAAAAGTAACTTCCTACTTAAGCAACTGGGGGGTGGGGGAGGAGTGGGGAGGGCCAGGTTGGGTTTGGGGGTTTTATTCCCTGCTTTAAAGATGGTGCAACAAATTTATATACGGCTTTAAAGGAATAGAGATACTGTATGAGACTCAATGTTCAATTAGTATTGCTATAGGTCAGTATGCTCTGCATACCTTTTCTGGGTCATGCTATTAGGAGTACGTGTGTTTAAAGGCAGAACACTTCATTCTTCATCAGCAAGTAACAGGACTTTCTTGTCTAGGCAGTAGCTGTTAGCGAATTTGGCATTCAGAGAGTAAGTACAGCAAAATGCATTCTCATTCAAAATGTAAATTACTAGTCCCCTTTAAAAGGCTGGGTAAAATACATTGAAAAACATGCTTGCCAGAGCATATCTGCAGAAATTCAATATATATTTTTATATTTTCTTGGGGATATTATCTTGGAGATAGGTTTGTACATGCAAATATTTTCATAAGCCAGTAAATTTTCTCTTTGTATCCTTTTTCACATCTTTACTAACTTTTTTCGACCTACCAAAACTGTTAGAAGCATTGATATTTTCGTTGTACAGTTTTCTACAACTGCAGTTTGCCTATTTTGAAATATATTTTAACATAAAAACCCCCATCAGTGTAGCTATGTTACTCTATTGCTTATAAAGGCATGTTGTTAGGAAAAAAGGTGCTCTGATTAAGGTTATTGCAAATTTTTGTTAGTGATCATTTTTTCTTTAGAAAAGTTTTAAAATTTGCCTTAATTTAAAGGAAAGACATCAGGAAAGCTGTTTGCAGTTTAGTATGGTGATGGTGGTACTACCTCTATTCTTCAGTACTGGAAATGCATTAACATACCTCGCTCTGACCATTACACTACTTCTGATTCTTGAGCCCTTACCGTCCAAATGCAATCATGATGTCCACAAACCCTTCATGTTTATAAGTCTGATATTCCAGTTTTATCAGCCACTTAATTCCAAGTGTTTTAGTAGAGGTAAGTAAATAGCACAAGATGTCATGGGAACACAGAATTTGAAGACTTCGCACCTCTTCATTTGAAATCTTTCATCTACATGGAAGGTGCCTCTATTTTTTTCATCAGTCTGAAATCAGATGACAGCTAGTGCTATGCCTTGTTCTCCTTTTCTTTTCAAGTGCCTCTCTCTCTGATTCTGGTCTGTATTCATTCCAAAGAGGAAACCTCTCTACATTATAAAGGAGATGGGCCAAATGTTTTATATCTGTTGTGCTGTATACTTGTTAAACTGTTCTTTGTAAGACAGGTGCTTGTCCAAATCCCTGCAATCTAAATAAAGGACCTCTCACTTGTACACCTGGCTTTCTCATTTTTTCTCAGTGCATGTTCTGGGCATTGCACCTTGCAAGTTTAAGGATCAACTGGTGTTCATTAAGTACTCTGGACCCTTAATAGGTCTTCCTTCCATAAGACACTGAGACCCAGCTCCAGGCTCCCTTAGACAGTGGTCTGAGTTTCAGCCTTTGAGAAACTGGCTCCAGGTCCTTCATACAGTGTTGGCATAGCCTCTGGAGAATCATTGTGCTTCTCCTTTCCTGCAAAGTTTTCAACAAATGAGGTTGGGGAAAAGGAACACCATGTCTGAGGCTGAAAGGAGGAAATAAATCAAGTGGAGACAGCTGTGTGTAAACTGCTCCATGTTTCCCAGCCATATGTCACAGGTGTGGCCAAGTGGATTTTCCAAAACCTGGGGAGAGAAGCTGTGTAGAAATACTCCCTTTTGCCATCCTTTTGGATTTCAAACAGGATTAGTGCAGTGCATGGCAGCAGATGTGCTGAGCAAGGAGCCCCACAAGAAGGCATTTAACTTAGGAAGCTAAACTACTTTAGGAAGGTAAAGTTAGTACTGGACTTCCTCAGTAAATTACCTTAGGATGATGACTTCCTTAGAAAGTCTGGAAGGGCAACCTATTGTGACCATTACAGCAAGTTACTTGTGCAGTCCTGTATCTTGTTAGAGGCCTCAGGACTTAAGCAGGCACTTTTGGTGCACACAGTCAGGGAGCTAGTTTTGCTCAGTTTGTCAATGGAGGACTGAAAAGAGTCTTGTCAGCAGTGCTCCTCTAGACATGCCAAGGAAAATTAGTCTGAGAAACATTTTTGTGTCTCAGAGGAACTGAGATTAATGAGAGGCTAATGGCTGGGAGGTGAAGCAAGCTGAAGCAACACAGAAATGAGAATGAAGTTGAGTGAGAATTAGTTACCATCAGAATTGTCTGGGAAAGTGGCCTCTTGACACCCTTAGAGAACAGAAGGTATACTCCAGACATAACTGAAGTTGTTAGATGATTATCACCTCAGACTTTATGCAGTCCCTCTAGTCTCAGCTCTGTGAATCTACATTTTTGTATGTACATGTAAACAGTCTGCTGTGTGGTCTTAACTCCTGTGACTGGGTTTTTGCAGAAGGTAGTTACCATGTATTTGAATCTTGCCAAGTAATACTGCTCTACGTCCATGGGCATTTAGCCTCCACTTTCAATTACAGCATGTCCTCAGAGACTGAGTCAATATAACAACAAGTTTTATCCTTCACTCTTTCTCTTAGGAAATGCTTACCTGGCTCCACAGATCTACAAGGCAAAATGCCTAAGTATCGAGGAATATAACAGTTTTCAAAATGGGCCTTTTATTTCTTTTTGTAAACAGTTGGACGTCCTTGATCAAGGTAACCGTGGAAACATCTGCATACTTTTTCCTAACCTGTACATTTTTGCAGACCAGATAAAGCAGTGCCTAACATGTAACTGAAGGTCTGTGTCACACAACAGGTGGACTAGCTTCCTTGTCAGCATATTAACTACAAATACTTATGGCAGTGAAAAACATAATGGATTTGAAATTGTAAAAGAAGTTATCCGCTATTCAGTTTATTAATCTCCGGATTGTAGCAGGATTTCAAGCACTTCAACAGTCATAATCTACAAAATTGTTGTATTATTGTATATCCTGTGTTCCTGTCCAGCACTGAAGTTCTTGGCCTTGACAATAGAAACTATCTATACATTCTGAAGCAAGTCTCATTTCATGCTGCTTCTATTAAAATTGACAGTTTGCAGGACTTTTTCCTTCTAAAAAAGGGATGTCATGTGATCTAATGGGAGTAGATCAAACTACAACAGCAGCAAATCTTCTTAAACTGAATAATTCCCCTTTTTCAGTGTTCAGTAGATTGCTTTCCTTAAAAAAATAATGGATTTATTC